CAGAAGCTTTTAGCACCTAACTAAGCCCACCTGGCCTCGTGTTGATCAGCAAAAAGTAGGTCCTCTTTTAGGGGCTCTGGTGGTGTAGTGCCTAAGGCATTTGACTGCTAACCAGAAGGCTGGCGGTTCAAATCCACAGGCTGGCGGTTCAGTCACTCCTCAGACGGAAGATTGGGCAATCTATTTCTGTAGACATACCACCTTGGAAACTCGAGGAGGGGTCACTATGAGTGGGTCCTCTTTTGTGTTCCTCATCTATGGTGCCATGTGGAGACATGGAAGAGTTCTCTATCTCCACTGGGACAGCTTCCAGAAGCCAGAGTGAACTGACTTGTCATGTAACTGTCCTCTGAGTCTCTGGTGTGTCGTGCATAGCAGGGCATGCATAGCAGTTTTCCATCTCTGCCAAGACAGCTTTTGAGCTGGGGTACTGCTCACCTGTTATGTGCTGTCTGCTGCCACATCTTTCTTCCTTGGAGCAGCTGGTGAATTTTGTGCTAGGGAAAAAGACCCCAGATTCAAAAATATTCTATAGAGATCCTTTTACTAAGTTTTAAACAGTCCAGAGACAAAAACAAAGACAATCATCTGGATGGGGAAATCATCAGAATGTACCCAGTACAGAGGCCGATGGAATACACTGAATCATAGTCATGGTGTTAATTATGTACAACAGAGAACAAAGGAAGTCATCACAAGATCATGACTGGTGGCAGGTCAATTCAGCACTATCACAGGTGGTACTACAGAAGTGGGCTGTGCTATGGGAAAAGACCTCAGGTTCAAAAATGTTCTATTGAGACCATTTTATTAAGCCTGGAACAGGACAAAGACAAAAACAAAGACAGTCATCCAGATGAGGGAAACCATCAGCATGTACTCAGTACAGAGGCTAATGGAATCTGCTGCGCCACAATCACGGTGTTCATTATACACGATAGAGGACAAAGAAAATCATCACAAGATCACGATTGATGGCAAGTCAATTCATCACTGTCTCCGGTGGTACTAATGAAGCAGAGAAAGGACCCTGACTGGGAAATGTACACAATTGCAGATTAAAAAAAAGGTCATGGGATTGGCTGTTTTTGGCAAATCATTAAGGACATGCCCAAGTAAATTCTTTGTGTAAGGACATGCCCATGCAAGCTACTTTCCACCACATTCTTCCTAAGGGCAAGCTGCCCCACCACCACCTTGGTTTACCCACCAAGAATCATGGGTCACTTTCTCAGAAACAGAAATGGAGTAAAATGGAGTCTAAACCAAACTTAGTATCAGCCATTTTAGTTAGGTCAAGCACCTCAGGTCAAGTACATTAACCTTTTGGTTAGAAGCCAAGTGCTTAACCTCTGACTCCTCAATAAAAGTTAGTTTCCATGTGTAACACTCTAGGAGTGTCTTGTGTGTTCAGGCTCTGATCAGAAGGACATGATATTCATAGAAGAATCACTAGCTGTGACTGGTTGTCTTTTTCTAATGGCCTTTTGGCTATTTAAAAATCTAGGATAACCTGTGAATGTCTCATATATGAAAAGCAATGGCCAGAGTGACAAGCCCAATAATACCCTGATGATGAGCCCTTTCTGTAGCTGGTCACACAATCAATTAAGTAGGTCAGTGTTAAGACTGAACCGTATCCCTCAAAAAAGATATGCCCAAGTCCTAACCACTGGTACCTGTGAACATTGACCCTGTTTGCAATTAAGGTGCTTGAATATATTACCAAACCAAAAAAACAAACTTCTGCCATTGAATCAATTCCAACTCATAGCAACCCCCATTGTGTTTTGTATGAGAGCTGAAATTCTAAAGCACTGGGGTTTATGGAAGACTGTGGTCTACAGTGGGAGCCCTAACTCCATTTTGAGTCTTCACAATAGCTCAGATACCAGTTGAGTTCTTTCTGACCTACAACATTATGATTGCACTGGTGGCATAGTACCTAAGGCACTTGACTGCTAACCAGAGGGCTGATGGTTTAAATCCACCAGCCACTCCTTGGAAGGAACGTTGGACAATCTACTTCTGTAGTGATACAGCCCCCAGAAACCCAAGGAGGGGTCTCTATGGGTTGGATCCGACACCATGGCAATGGTTGTGTTGTGGTTTTGCAGAAAGAATGTGGCTGAAAGTGAATTATGCTCACACAAAGTACTAGGGAACTTGCCTGAGTGTGTCCTTTTCTGATTTGGATTAAGGTTGGGTCTTGGTATTGTTTGGTAGACACCTTGTAGCTAAGACTTAGGCTGCATGGTCATGAGTCGTTTTTGGACTACCACCTAGACAGGTATATTCAAGGCCCAGAACCAATCCTGTTCTTCAATTATGTAAGTATCCCAATCATTGTCCTTTCCCCACTACTATAGTCCTGGCTGTGACACTGATGAATCTATTTGCCACCAATCATGATTTTGTGATGATTCCCTTTGTTTTCAATGATATATGATTAGCCCCGTGGCTGTAATTCAGTGGACTCCATTCAGCTTTCTGTACTGAGGACAGGCTGTTTGTTTCCCTAATCCTGGATGACTGTCTTTGTCTTGTCCAAGGCTTAATATAAGAGTCTCTATTGAACCTATTTGAATCTGGGGCCTTTTTTCCCTATTAGTTTCCAAGGCTGCAAATCTGTATGAAGCAAACTGCTTTATCTTTCTTCCACGGAGAGGATCGTGGGTTTGACCTACTGACCTTTTAGTTAATAGCCAAATGCCTTAACCACTATACCACCAGAATTCCTTGAAGATGTTACCAGTTTGGTTAACGTGATGTCATAATGGAGTAGGACCTTGCATAATATAAAGTAAGACCTCATATTATAAAGAGAGACAGAGAAAAAAAAGAGAAAGGAAGGTATCTTAGTTAGCTAGTGTTGCTATAACATAAATATCATGAGCAAGTGGCTTTAACAAACAGAAATTTATTTTCTCACAGTTTAGGAGGCTAGAAGTCTGAATTCAGGGCTCCGGGTATACGGGAAGGGTTTCTCTTTTTGTCAGCTCTGGGGGAAGGTCCTGTCTCTTTTCAGCTTCTGTTCTTCGGCTCCTTGACAATCATGTGGCATGGTGTCTATCTTCCCCCATCTCGTCTTGCTTGCTTATTTAATCTGCTTTTATATCTCAAAGGAGATTGATTTAAGACACATCCTACATTCTACTGCCTCATTAACATAACAAAGAAAACCTATTCTCAAATGGGATTATAAACACAGGTACAAATACCAAAAAAAGAAAAAAAAAATCTTTATGGAAGCATACTGTCTCATCTTTCTCCCTTAAAGTGGCTGGTGGATTCAAACTGCTGACTTTTTGATTAGTAGCCAAATGCTTTAACCACTATGCCACCAGAGTGCCTCAAGGTGGCATAGTGCCTAAGAGATCTGACTGCTAACCAAAAGCCTGGTAATTCAAACCCACCAGTCATCCCTTGGAAGGAAGATTGGGCAATCTATTTCCATAGTGATACCTTGGAAACTCAAGGAGGGGTCACTATAAATCGGGTTCAAGTCAATGGCAGTGAGTTTGGTGTTTTGTTTTTTTTTTTGTATTTTGTGGGCACACAATTCACTCTATAACAGATGGTAATATGATCTGTAGCTGCAAGCCAAGAAAAGCCTGGAGTTACCAGAAGATGGGAGAGGCACGGAACAGATTCTCCCTTAGACTTGAGAAAGAACCAACACGACTGACACCCTGATCTCCAACTCTCATCCTCCAGAACTGAGACAATAAATTTCTGTTCTTATAACCACTTTGTTTGTGGTATCTTGTTACATTAACCCAGAACACTGACATGTCAAGGTGACTGTGCTGTGTCCACTGTGTGACTGCCCACTTCCTAGGGAGGGACTGGTTGGTTTGCTGCTTGCTACAAGATATGCTAGTCCCTTGGCTGCCACAAGATATACCATGTGTGTAGCAGTGAGCCACCTGGGTCTACTTCACTGCACTATGGACTTGGGGTAAGGTAAATGGTATAACCAATGAGTCACTGTCACGTTTGCTGGGCTGATGAACTGCCTTGTTTGGATCCACCATTTATTTAGGCATCATGAGGCTAGGGTTCTTTCCTGACAAAGACTGGCCCAGTGATCCAAATGCTAAGATAGATAATGTCTTCTGAAAGAGAAAAGGTCAGGGTCCCAGAGCCTCACAGACCTCAGGAAAGTCCCTGGAAGCCTTGTCCAAATAAGTGAGAGGATAAGTGGTCCTTCCATCATAACTGTTAATGATACAACTCCACATGGAGTAGTTTCCTGGAAAGAAACAGGACTGAAACATGCTAGGAGACTCGTTCTCTCTCAGGAGTGGGGCAGGAGCTGCTACAGCCCTCTGAGTGGGCTCATACCCCTACTATGCATGTCCTTGAGCAAGAACTGGGTGACAATCTCACCTGACTCAGCTACCTGCTCTACTGAGGACCTGGTTTAGCCCCACTGGGGCAGCCATACCCATAGTCATGTGTGGGGAGTGGGCCTTAGGGTTTCTCCACCAGGGAGGGCTGCCTTCTGGACTTGGTTGCTGCATCACTAGCATTGACTTTACCACTGAACCATGTCCCGTTGTCGAGGCTTTGGGCAAAGGGCTGCCTTGGGTGGGGATAGACAAACTCATACTCTAGGACAATGGTCAGGACCCTGTGAATCATAGGGGTCTGAGACCATCAGGATAAGTCAGGATGGCTGGCTACAAGGTGGTAGGGGAAAACTCCAGATACTCAAAGACCTGGCAGGACCCAAAGAAGAGGGTGGGGTTTACATGCTCCATCTCTTAGCTCTCAAGGATTTAGGAAAGATTTTATTACAGTAACACTAAACAATCTTCAAATGGTAAGGTTCCACTAGTAGAATTCAGCCCAATTTAGGCCAGCACCTCTGTGGCTCCACAGGACAGCAGCAGCTCAAAGAGCCCAAGGTAGGCCCAAGGGGGAGGGGCCTACTTCCTCCTGTCTGTCCCTGCTGGAGACCCTGGGCCCTGGCACGCCTCCCTGCATGGTTGCCTTCAGAAGAGGCCCCTGCTCAGGGGCTGCAGCCTGGTCCCTGTGTGCCGGTTCAGCTCCTCTAGGACCTGCTTCTCTTTCTGGAACATCTGGAAGAGGAGCAGAAATCTGCTGCAGCGCCTCCCATGGGGAACACCCTGCTGTGTAGCCCTTGTCCTCCTCCCCCAGGCACCAGTACCAGGGGTGTCTCACTCTCCCTGCACCCACCATCCCTGGCTCGGTCTCAATTATGGCTGACTGTGATCCCCAAAATATGTATTAAATATGCATGCCCCTGTACCTGTGGATGTGACCCTGTTTGGGATTAGGGTTTTTCTTTTGTGATGTTAATAAAGCCATAGGAGGGGAGGGTGGGCTCTAAACTTAATCCCTTCTGAATTATAAAAAGACCAAAACAGACAGACACTCAAAGAGAGGAGGAAGACAGTGAGGAAAAATTTATCTACAAGCTAGGAACCAAGGAGTGCAGCAGCTACTAAAGCTGAAATAGACAAGGTAAGCCCTCCCCTAGAGCCATGCCCTGAATTAAAACTTCAGGCCTCCTGGATGGAAATAAACTTTCTTCTTTTTTTTTTTTTTAAAGAAACCCACTTGTGGTATTTCTGTTATAGCAGAAGTAGATTAAGGCAGCCCCTTTCTCAGAAGGCCTGTCCCTGCTGAAGCTCATGGCCACTTGCACACAGTGAGCAGATGCATCAGGCAGGAGAGGGGCAGGGGAAGGAGATGTGGGAGACCGGCCTGCCCGAAATGGGAGAAGGAGCTTGCAGAGGTGGGACCAGATGGGCAGGTACTGTGAAAGGGTGTGTAAGGAGAGCCAGGCAGTGGAAAGGCCTCTTAAGAAAGAAGGTGCTGGCCTAGCCTAGTACTCAGGGAGGGGGTACAAGATGGGAAACTAGGGAAGCACTGCATCTCAGAAGGTCCAGTCTTATGGTGGCAAATTTTTGAGCCTGTTGCATGGCAGTTGCTTTTACTGATATGCTTGAGCTGCCAGGCCTGTGAGCCTGAGGGACTGGAGGCATGGGGGCAGTGGAGATGTAGGGGCTGAGGAAATGGGCAGGGAGGCGACAGCCCGGGGTCAGAAGGAAGTACCCCAGGTTATACCTTCTGCCACTCGGTCTCTGTGTCATGTGTAAAACCCAGCAGGTGGCAAAGCCCATGAGTGGCCGTCACCTGTAAAGTAATTTTTAAAAAAGCCTTAGGAAGCAATCCAACAAGAAGCAAGCCCTTCAGGAACGATCTCCATTTGCAAGTAGACCCCATGCCCTGGCTGGGCTCTCCCCTCCCTTCATAGGCAATGGGAGCCAAGTGCTGCATGATTCTGCCACCACAGCTGTGTGCTCTCCCCAACAACCCTTGCTTTGCACCTGCACCACACAGGTGTGCATGGATGTGGTGGGTGCGGTGCATGTGGACAAGTGTCCATTTCACTAACCAGGACAGGCCATGTCAATGTACCACTCACAGTCAGGATGTCATAGTAGTCTTCGTTTTCTTTACACTGCTGGAAGATGTATTCCACTCCTAGGAAGATGTCTCCCAGGTTATAATCATCTGGAAAGTCAGGCTGGGGAATTTCACCTGCTTTCAGATTCTGCATATGAGGAAACACAGACTTGGAGAACATTGTATCAATGACAACAGTAACCTGATCACAAGCTGACATTTCATTTTGGAAAACTTTGTTTTCTTGGCAGGGAACAACAGTCAAGGTTCCTCAGGGTAGACAAGGGCTTGTCCCCTGACTGTGCTGAGCTATGTCCCACATACTGTCCTCAAAGGGATGTGTGTGCCAGTAGGGCTCTGTGGGGGATGGAATGGTACCCAGCCACTACACAAATAACACACAGCAGCTTGTTTCCACCTTGTCAAATGAATTATTTTCCATTTGATCATCCTTCCTAATGTGGAATCCCATGCATTTACAACTTCTACAGAGCTAAAGCATCATATTAACTAAGTCAAATAATGTTGTTCTTTCTGCTTGGTATTGTGTCCTCATCAACAGCCTTCTTTATAAAAGTGATCCCATTCTTCTGGGAAGACACACTAAGCCAGTCACTGGATGCTTGGGGTGTTTGCATTTTTTTCTTTCTATTATAGAAAAAGGAGCTCTGGTAGCTTAGTGCCTAAGGCACTTGACTGCTAATCAGAAGGCTGGCAGTTCAAACACACCAGCCACTCCTTGGAAGGGAAGTTGGGCAATCTACTTCCATAGAGATACTGCCTCAGAAACCCAAGGAGGGGTCGTTATGAGTTGGGTCCGACTCGACGGCACGTAACAACATTATAGAAAACAACAAACCAACATGTTTATATATTTATCTTCTTTCTTTCATTTTTGCAGGTGTGACACTAGTGGCTTACACAGCATATATAGTAAAACCTGTGAAAGCCAAAACCTTTATCAGGCAGAAACCTGTGAGAAGAAAAATCCAAATACTTTCCACTAAAAGAGGGCAATCGAATAAGTGGTAAGACTGCACAGTCAAAGGTGGAAAATATCCAAGACCCAGAAAAACAAAGTAGTTCTGTAGAGTTTCGCCCCTCACAGGTTTCAGCTTGAAATGCTCTTAGAACATATTGCTAAACTGCTTTCCAAAAAGATTGCTCCAATTTATACTACTACTAACAACATGTAAGGCCTTGGCAGAATCATCTACATAAAGTAGATGGTAACCTGATAGGGTCACTGTGAGTTGAAATCAACTTGATGAACACACAGTAACAACCACAACCTAATACCTATGAAATCTTATTAGTTGAATGTATTTACCCCAGTCCATTCTTTTATTTTCAGTGTTATTCTAATTTTTCAATTCATACATATTTGTTATTGAGTCACTTTTAAACTTGCTGAAGCACTTTACCTCTCTTTTTAAATTTACTGATAGCATTAAGGAGCAAAAAGGGGGAATCCCATTACCACCTTCCCCTTCTTGTTCCCACTAGTTGGCAGTGACCAATGGGAGTTGATCACAGTTATCTTCTCTTTTGTGTACATTTGAAAAAATTTCAAAAAACAAAATCACATTGATGACATTAAAATTGCCCTGAGTTCAAAATTTTAAAAGTGAAATATCATTCAGGCTTAGAAGTTTACTCTGTTCTTGTTATTGTTATATGCGTCAAGTCGGCCCCAACTCATAGCGACCCCTACTTGGGTTTCCGAGGTAGTATCACTACGGAAGTAGGATTGCCCAACCTTCCTTCCGAGGAGTGGCTGGTGGGTTTGAACCGCCAGCCTTCTGGTGAGCAGTCAAGTGCCTTAGGCACTATACTACCAGAGGTCCCTTTCTCTAGGAGGTGGGATAGACAAGAAGAGGAAAATATTTTTTTTTACCTCATGAAACGGAAAAGAAAGCACATCCGTTGGGACATTTTTCTCTCTGTAGATTCTATTAATGTGCTGAATATTCTTGTTGTCAACACAGATGACTCCTAGGTCAAACTTCTGCACTCCTAAGATGCTCCTCAAGATCTCAATCTTTTTGCGCAGCGGGACTCTCCTAATGCGGACAACGCGCTGCAGATTTTTAAGTACCAAACTCATCTCAAGAATAATCCGGACCTTGGAAATCCTTTGGAAAGAGACCTGTGGTCAAAGTTTCAAAGAAGACGAATCAGAACTAGAAAGTAGTACTAAATTCTGTAAAAATACATATGCACACACAGATCACTTTAGTTGCTAAAATTCATTGAGATTTTATCGGAATTTGCATTTTACCATAAGAAACATATAAAATGCGGTCGGGTGGGCTGGGGGTGGGTTTGAGGGACTGGCAGAGGAGATTGCGATGGTATTAAGCAAAGAAAGACGTGCAGGGGGCCGGCGGGGTGGGCGCGGTGCGAGGAAGGGAGGGTGGAGTGGGGTTCTGTCGGATCCCAGGACTTCTCCATAGACTGCTCGGCGCGGGCATCACTCCAGGCGCGTGTTCTGTTTGCATTCTGGGGACAAAGAGCCCCTTGCACTCGTACCGGCGCCAGAAGGCAGCTGGGCCCAGGCTCGACCCCGGCGGCGGCAGCGAGAGCTGCCTGGTCCAGTTCCACCGGAAGCCGCGCCGCCTCGGCTGCCGACCCGTAGAGCGGAACGCGAGCGCGGTGGGCCGGAAGCAGAACGGGCCGGAAGTTCGTTTGCTGCGTTTTCTGCCCGTCGCGGGAGGTAAGCGCTGCGTTGGGCGGCCGCACCCCTGCTTGCCTACTCGGGGCGCCGAGGGGGCCCTGGGCAACAACGGCTGCGGGCCTAGACGTCCCTGCGGCCTGACAGTGAGCGCGGCGCTGGAGGGGTGCGCAGCTGGGAGCCTTGCTTCCGCTCCTACCCTCTTCGGTAACGGAGCGGGCCGGGGGCGAGCGGTCGCAGCGAAGCCCGGCAGCGGGACTCGGCGCGCAGCCTGGTCCTTCTGCGATTTTTCGGGACGTGCTGGGTGAGAGTTCCCCTTCCCTCCCCTAGACCCCCGCCTCCAGATGCCGTGTCTCTGAGAGCGCGCTTGTGTCATTTAAGCCAGTTCGCAGAGTAGTCGCCAGGATGTTTTTTTTTAAAAAAAGGGTCCAAAAAAAGGGGGGGGGGAACCTAAAGACCGAAAAAGAAAAAACCGAAAACTCAAAAATATTTCCCTTTCTGGGAGAAAGAATTTGTGCTCTGGTTATTGGAGAAAATTTAGATAAAAGGAAACATTGAAACTGTTCTGGTAGTGTTGTTACATTGTAATTCTTTGATTGTTACTTACTGTTGGAAGCAAAGGCGCTCTGGTAGCATAGTGGCTAAGACACTTGCCTGCTTAACCAGATGGCTGGCGGTTCAAACCCACCAGCCACTCCTCGGAAAGAAGGTTGGGCAGTCCTGCTTCCGTAGTGATACTGCCTCGGAAACCCAAGGAGGGGTCGTTATGAGTCGGGGCCCACTCGACGGCACATAACAACAACAACAACATTGGAAGCAGTAGGAGCTCTGGTAGCATAGTGCTTGAGACACTTGACTGCTAACCAGAAGGCTGGCGTTCAAACCCACCAGCCACTCGAAAGGAAGGTTGGGCAATCCTACTTCTGTAGTGATACTGCCTGGAAACCCAAGGGGAGGGGTCCCTGTGAGTCTAGGGCCGACTTCAGGGCACATAACAACAACAGCAACACTGGAAGCAGTCAGGAGAAAAACCGTTCTTTGAAAGTGTAACGGCAATCATGCTTTTATCGTTTGAGGTTTTTGTAAACTTACTTAGTGGGAGCTTTGGTGGCGGAGTGCCTAAGGCGTTTGACTGTTGACCAGAAGGCTGGCGGTTGAAGCCCACCAACCATTTCTCTGAAGGAAGGTTGGGCAATCTACTTCCATAGTGATACCGCCTCGGAAACCCAAGGAGGGGTCTCTATGAGTTGGACCAACTCCACGGCAGTGGGTTTTTTTTTTTTGGTTTTACCAACTTAGCGAAACGATATCCCCCCCCCCCCCCATATTAACGGGTCACATTTTAAACATTCATAACAAAGTTCTTTGTACCCCCTCTACCCCAGCCCTCCAAAAAAGGAATCCACTCTCGGCTAGCATAGTGCCTAAGGCACTTGACTGGTAACTGGCGGTTCAAACCCACCAGCCACTCCTTGGAAAGAAGGTTGGGCAATCTACTTCCCTAGTGATACTGCCTCCAGTGGCTATGAGTGGGGTCTGACTCCACAGCACCTAACAACAACAAGAACCTCTTGGAAAATAACAGTACTTGATCTTTTCCTTTTACCCCCTTATAAGCAGTTATCTTTAGAGTATTCACATCTGTTTGTTTTTATTTTACTAGGTCTTCAGCAGTACACAGCTGTGATTGATGATAATTAATTTTTGTTTTTCAGCTTATTGTGAAGATGAGGGAGAGCTGTCTAGCTCAACAGAGTATTTAAGGAAGAGGACTGATTTTGCACACATAGTACCTAATATCTTTCAATAATTGGATCAGAAGATGAATCCTTCTAATCCTTTCAGTGGGCAGCAGCCTAGTATGTTTTCAACATCTTCCAGTGGTTCCTTAGGAGCATTTCATGCTAAACAGCCATTCCGATTTGGTCAGCCTTCTCTTTTTGGACAAAACAATCTATTACCTGGGCAAAGCTCAGGATTTTCACAGGTTTCCAACTTTCCAGCATCTTCTGGAGTTATTCCTTCTTCTTCAGTGCAGACATTGGGATTTTCCCAAACTTCAAATGTTGGACTCTTTTCTGGACTTGAACACACTTCAACCTTTGTAGCTACCTCTGGGCCTTCAAGCACATCTGTTCCTGGAAACCCAGGATTTAGTTTTAAATCACCCACCAATCTTGCAGTTTTCCCGAGTACTTCTCATTTTGGACCAGAAGCTGGAGAAAGAGCAAGCTCTGGCTTTGGGAAGACAGAATTCAGCTTTAAACCTCTGGAAAATGCAGTGTTCAGACCAATATTGGGGGCTGAATCGGAGCCAGAGAAAACCCAGGGCCAAATTTCTTCAGGATGTTTTACATTTTCCCACCCAATTAGTAGTGGATCTGGGGGACTGGCTCCTTTTTCTTTTCCTCAGGTGACAAGTAACTCATCAACCAATTCAAATTTTACCTTTTCAAAGCCAGTTAATAGTAATAACTCATCATCTGCCTTTGCACCTGCTTCGTCAAATCAAAATACGGAGGAAGAGAAAAGAGCCCCCAAATCACTGTTTGGAAGTTCTAATAGTAGTTTCACTAGCTTCCCTTTGTCATCTTCAGGGTCTTTGGCTGACTCCTTCACAGGAGGCAAAGGAGGCATCAGACAAGTATGCGAAGAAACTGTGTCACAGATGGACCCACTCCCCAACCTCATGAAAGGACTGAAAAGGAAGGAGGATCAGGATCGCTCCCCAAGGAGACACGACCGGGACGCAGTGGAAGACTCAGACCCTCTGTCCCGGGGTGACCATCCTCCAGATAAGCGGCCCGTCCGCTTGAACCGACCCCGGGGAGGCACTTTGTTTGATCGGACCTTACAAGACGTCTTGAAGAGCAATAAAGAAATAGGTCGCTTAGGCAGCAAGGAACAAAAGAAGGAAATTGGCTGTGTTGAGTCTGAGGAAAACGACCACATGACCATGCCCGGAGGGAGTCAGTCTGTCTTGACACTTTCTAGGCTTCCTGGTGTGAATAAAGAGGAAGAAACTGAAGGTAGAGATAAAAAAGAAGGTGAGCTCTAGAAATGTAAAGCTTGCTGACAGGTTCTCAGTTTCTTGGGCATTAGCTTGATCTTCTGTGTAAACATTAGAGATCCTGACATGTCATCCATCCCTTGGGATTCCAGCAGGTCTTAAACCCATGAAAGCTTCCCTTGCTTTTGCACAGTTGTTGCCTCCTTTTGGTTGCCAGTGTTGCATCTGATTCTGGTTTTCTGATTCCCCAGATTCTCTAAGAGGAACTCCTATGCGTCATAGTAAAAGAAGTGAAAGCACAGACAGTCTTGGGGGCTTGTCTCCTGCTGAACTCACAGCCATCCAGTGCAAGAACATCCCTGATTATCTCAATGACAGAACCATTCTGGAGAACCATTTCAGCAAAATTGCCAAAGTACAACGTGTCTATACCAGGCGCAGCAAAAAGCTTGCTGTGGTATATTTTTTTGATCACGTGAGTACCCTCAACTTGCCGCTTGTTACCCTAGATTTAAATTTTGTCATATTAAAACTTTTTTTCCCTTCATTTATTACTTATTTAAGGAATCACCTTAATGGTAACAGATATCAGTTATTTGCTTGTTAGAATATAATGAATATATTTGAATATCTTAATTTGGAGATCCTGGGATAGTACTATATAATAATTTGGAGTCATTTGTGTAAAGCTTGGGATCCTTACCAGAACTCAGAGTTCTAGAAATACTGAACAGGGTAATTCATCCAAAATCCATTGGTGTTGAGTTGGATTCTGACTCATGGTGACCCTATAGGACAAAGTAGAACTGCCCATAGGGTTTCCGAGGCTGAAATCTTTATGGAAACACACTGCCACACCTTTCTCTCATGGAGTGCCTGGTGGTTTCAAACTGCCCACCTTTTGGTTAACAACTGAATGCTTTAACCGTTGCACCACGGGCTCCTTGGTTAATGCACAGGATGTCAGATTCATGAGAAATGTAAGGGTGGTTCTGTAACCAAGCAGCACTTTTTTCAAACTTAAGTTTTCTGGTTTTATGTGGTTTTCGTACATGATCGATGTGAACAGTCAAACAATACGGAAAAAATAAAATTCTCTGGTAATCCCATCTCCTAGGGATAACTTCTGTGATCATTGTTTTGTGTCTTGACTTTCAGTAGGTGTGTAAGGACATGTATGTCCAGCACATGGATCATACAGTTCACCCATACATTACTGAGATTTAAAAGGAAAAATGACAAACCTGTTGTTGTTGAGTCATTTCTGACTTGTAGCAACTCTAGAGGTACATTTATTATCTATTTTTCTTTCTCAATATTCTTGTGGGAAAATACCGAGTTCTTTGTTGTTAGGTGCTGTTGAATTGGCTCTGACTCAGGGCAGCCCTGTGTACAACAGAGCAAAACACTGCCCGGTCTTGTGCCATCCTCATAATATTTGCTATGCTTGAGCCCAGTGTTGCAGCCACTGTGTCAGTCCATCCTGTTGAGGGTCTTCCCCTTTTTCACTGACCCTCTTCTTTACCAAGTATGATATCCTTCTCCAGGAACAGGTCCCTTCTGACAACATGACCAAAGTATATGAGACGAGGTCTGGCTGTTCTCACTTCTGAGGAGCATTGCAGCTGCACTTCTTCCAGGACAGATTTATTTGTTTCTCTGGCAGTTTATGGTATTTTCGGTATTCTTCGCCAACATCACAGTTGAAAGGCATCAACTCTTCTTTGGTCTTCCTTATTCATTGTCCAGAAGCTCTGGCAGCATAGTGCCTAAGGCACTTGACTGCTAACCAAAAGGTTGGTGGTTCAAACCCACCAGCCACTCCTCGGAAGGAAGATCGGGCAATCTACTTCTATAGTGATATCACCTTGGAAACCCAAGGCAGGGTCGCTATGAGTTGGGGGTCCAACTCAGCGGCACATGACAACAACAGCATTCATTGTCCAGTTTTACATGCGTATGAGGTGATTAAAAATACCATGGGTTGGGTTAGGTGCACCTTAGTCTTCAAAGTGACATCATTGCTTCTTAACACCGTAAAGAGAGCTCTGTAGCACATTTGCCCAGTGCAGTATGATTGATTTCTTGACTACTGCTTGTATGAGTGTTGATTGTGGATCCAAGTAAAATGAAATCCCTGACAACTGCAATCTTTGCTCCATTTATTGTGATGTTACAGCTTATTGGTCCAGTTGTGAGGATTTTTGTTTTCTTTATATTCAAGTATAATCCATACTGAAGACTCTAATCCTTGATCTTCATCAGGAAGTGCTTCAAGTCATCTTCATTTTAGCAAGCAAGGTGGTGCCCTCTGAACATCACAGGTTGTTAGAGTCGTGTTCCTCCAATCTTGATGCCACATTCTTCATATAGTCCCACTTCTTGGATTATTTGCTCAGCATACAGATTGAATAAGTATGGTGAAAGGATACAACCCTGACACACACCCTTCCTGATTTTAAACAATTCAGTATCCCCTTGTTCTGTTTGAACGACCCCTTGATCTATGTACAGGTTCCTTATGAGCACAATTACGTATTCTGGAATTCCTATTCTTTACTGTGCTGTCCATAATTTGTTATGATTCACGCAGTCAGATGCCTTTGCATAGTGAATAAAACAGATAAACATCTTTCTGATATTCTTTGCTTTCAGACAGGTTACATCTGATAGCAGCAATAATATCCCTCATTCCACATTGTCTTCTGAATCCTGTTTCAATTTCTAGAAGTTCCCTGTCTGTATACTGCTACAACTGTTTTTGAATTTTCTTCAGTAAAATTTTACTTGGATGTGATATTAATGATGTCTGATAATTTCCACATTCTGTTGTATCACCTTTCTCTGGAATGGGCACAGATACCAATCTCTTCTGGTCAGTTGGTCAGGTAGCTTGTCTTCCAAATTTCTTGGCATAAACTGGTAAGCTCCTCTAGCGCTGCATCCATTTGTTGAAACATCTCAGTGGATATTCTGTTAGTTCCTGGAGGCTTGGGTTTTTTTTTTTTTTTTTGTGATTTGGGTGAAGATTTACAGAGCAAATTCACTTTCCATACAGCAGTTTACATATACTTTGTCTCATGACATTGACCACGGTTTACCGCAATGCAACAGCTCCCCTCCCACTTCTTCTCCATAGTTACCTCTTCCCAGTATCCATCCCTGCATGGACTCCTGCCCTCTGAGCTGTCTCCCTGTGCATAGGCAGCCCTTCTTTCTCAGTGATTGTTCTCTCCATGGAGTGTATCTACCTCAGGTAAATGTTCAACTCATATGCCTGTCTTCTGTTTGGCTGGAAACCACAGGTGTGTGTTCAATTCCAGACCCGAAGGGCAGCGAGGGGTCATAGTCTCAGTGGTTCCACCAGGCTCTATCAGACCAGCAAACCTGGTCCCCACCCCCCTTTTTTTTTTCACTTTTCCCCAAATGATTTTGAGTTTTGTTCCACATTGTTTTCCCTCTCTATTAAGGATCTCCTACATAGATCCCCTTCCAAGTGGATGACAGTGGTAGCCGGGCACCATCTAGTTCTTCTGGTCTCAAAGTCATATAGGCTACAGATTG